CCGAGGGTGGTCCGAGGCTAAGCGCGTCAGCCGGAGCCGAGTGCATGCAAGTCTTGACGCGGCAGCAGCCCTCTTGAGATTTTAGATTCTTCTTAGTTTTGCCGAGCTGAGTGGGCCTGGTCTTGGTTGGGTTGGACCGCTATTTCTGTTTGGCCGGATATCCCCATTCCAGGGTATCCATCACGGCGTATTAAAAGATAATGTCACGCTGTATACTCCTACTGATGTCAAAAATATTACAACAATGCTTGATAATTAATTTTAGCTACATTATAGTGGTACGTAACAAAATTATAGCTATGGATTTGTTGACTGGATCATTGGTTGAGTTCAACAAATTTGACGGATTGATCCTAGACTAACAAGAAATCTAAAGTCCCATCTGGTTTTCAAGTCATTACTCCCCATCTATAGTCTATATAAAAGAACATTCTACTTTGAATTTTCAATTAATTTTTTTAAATGTTGATCATAAAATATAGAAAAAATATATTAAATTATTGTATAAATTTCGTATAGATTTTTCTTGGAAATATTATATTTCATTAATTTATACTCCGTATTTATATATAAATAGAGATATTAATGATTAAAATATTTTGAAATGGTGAAAATAAGAGTAAATTCCATAATTGGTCCTTTAAAATAGGGGAGTTTCCATATTTAGTCTTCTATTATCAAATATTACCCCCGTAGTCCTTTTTTTAAGGGTATCTTTCCACAAATGGTCCTTTTTTTAATCTTCTGCCGTGTTGGTGTTAATTTAAAGGCTAAAGTATAATTTGACATCAATATTATGTCTACTGACGTGTTCTGATATTGGTTAAGCGGATAACACAAAAATAATGACTATGATAGTGGGCTAGGTTCTGACGAAAGATCACATTTCTAGACTATAGTTGTCGTAAAAAGCGACTGTAATTCACAAACGACGCAAATGAAACAGCCTATGGAATTGTATATGACAAAAAAGATATATTATCATTGTGAAATTACACTTTTAGCCCTCAAATTAACACAAACATGATAGAAGATCAAAAAAATGACTATTTCTAGAAAAGTACCCATAAAAGAAGGACCACTGGGATAATATTTAATAATAGAGGATTAAATAGAATTTACTTTCTTATAATTTGGTCGGCGCTGTTAACTGTACGTCTCCATTGGATTCGTCCGTCGGTTTCCATTAGATTTCTCCGTCTCCAAGCTTCAACACCAACGCCAAAACCCAGAAACTTTATGGGGCCTGTAAAATTCACCAAGGGCTATGGCGTAATAGAAGATCCGGCGGAGGATCAGCTCTCTCTCACGCCGCGCAGATCCGCTCGGAAACGCCTCCTAGCCGCTGCCGCTTCTCTCCTACCGTTCCTGACTCTGATCGTCGGCGCGGTGTTCGTCGTGTTGATCCGCCGGTCCAGCTCGGAGGACGGCATCTCGCATCCGTCGTCATCGTCGCCGGTGTCCTCCAACTCGGCCGGACTTCTCAGTACCGTTTGCGCGGTGACTCAGCACCCGGACAGTTGCTTCGATTCCATGTCTCCGTTCGCGGAAGCAACGCCGAAACCCGACCCGGAATACTTCCTCAACGTCTCCCTCCGGGTTTCCGTTACCGATCTGGTCAACTTGACCTCGCTTCCCAAGTCCCTGATCTCGAAGGTCAACGACCATGGCGCCCAATCGGCCCTGCAGGACTGCGACGGCCTTTTCGCCGACGCGCTGAGTCAGCTCAACGAGTCGGCCGCGCTGATGAATGCGGGCCCAGATGGAAGGATCGTCCTGACGCCGGCGAAGATAAGGAGCATGCAGACGTGGACAAGCGCGGCGATGACAGATGTTGACACGTGTCTGAATGGGTTGGATGAGATGAAATCGACGGTGTTAAGTGAGGTGAATGCGAGGGTGCAGAGAACGAACGAGTACATGAGCAACACCTTAGCCATTCTCAATAATGTACACAGCCTTCACGAGAAGTTTGATGTGCCAATGCATTGAATTGACTGAGGGTATATCTTTTTCGTTGCCTTTATTATAGCGTTCCAATAATATTACAACACTTCACTGTTCAAAATTTCACGGAAATTTTTGTTATTTTTTGCTTATTTAATAAAATAAAATATTTTTTGTAACTTCTTATTTTATATTCCCTCCGTTTTATAAAATCCTTCTTTTTTCGTTTTTTTAAATTCCTTAAAACACTTTCCCTTTCTATTAAAAAACTACTTTTATTCCAACTTTTTCATATCCTACCTATCACATCATATTTTTTTTACTAATAACCAAACTATCACATTTTACTTTTACTCATCATAACAGGGGCAAAATTGGAAAGTCAACCAAAATTAAACTTTCATTATTTTGGCTCAAAGTCAAAATAGAAAGGGTTTAAAGGAACGGAGGGAGTAGAAATTTTGACATTGCTTTTAAATACAGAGTATGTAAGTTTTATTTTTTATTTCTATACCAATTTTTAAATAAAATGAATTGAAAAAACTAAAAAAATGCTTTATTTAGAGAAATGTTGTAATCTTTTGGAGATGGAAGGATTAATATTTTTCTCTTTTTTTATTTGTTTTTTTTCTGTATTGCAGGATTGTTGTTTATTCCACGCCACTGAATCACTGACCAACCTTCCCTATTGTAATTGTTCAAATTTGTTCCGCCTTTGTAAAATCATTTCTATGCACATTTGGTTTGTGGGAATGCAATGTGTTTGTTCAATCCTGTAAGAACGTCAATCAATACCCACCAGAATGTCATGATGATCTTCATAAGAAAATGATCATCAAGGTGTTGAACATTTGGTTATCACAGTCATAAGAAAGTCCACCTACCAATCTGAGAGTGTTAAAGTTTAGCTTCTTTTGGCTCACTTTTTTTAAACTGATGAACAAGTAGGTTCCGAGATCCTTGCTCTTTCCCACGGCTAGGTGGCAACGAGAAGTAGGAAGGGGACTGAGGTTTGGTTGGTGGACATCCATCCCCTTTGCAGCTTCCCATCGTTGTTCTGGATTACAGGTTCAAGATCTTCCTTCCCTTCTACGGAATTAGACCTATTGTACGATTTGGATAGGTCCCATGTCGGGCACTCGGGCAACATTACAACCGTGTGAGGAGCTAAAAATTGATATACTGTTAGTTTATACTTTGCACACAAGTTCCCATGGTGATGGAACTTGAGGGGTTTGTACCTCAAAAACACAGAGCCCAAGATTGGCCATAAATGCCTTTTAGGCCTCGTTTGATACACGGAATTCAAACTATGAAATTGGAACTGAGGACTCCAATTCCAATTCTGGTGTTTGGTAGTACAAAAATTATGTGGATTTAGAATTGGTAGTGCAAAAAATGAAATGGAATTGGTGAATTCAGTTCTATGGAATTGAATCCCATGGAATTTTAATTCCAATTCCATCTATTCCGTGTACCAAACGGACTCTTAATGTCTCATAAGCCAAGTCAAAGCCAGCAAAGGATCATCCAACACAGAGTTGGTCTCTGAAACTCCATTTGACAATATTGCTGACGACTGAAGTAGAGATACTACGCTAGGTCAGTGGTTAATCAAGTAGCCCAACTGCCTCATAAACCTCGGGCATAATGCTAGTCAATCCAGTGGCACATTACAAACTCTAATCTCTGTGCTTAAGTAGCTCTTAGGGGCTGTTTGTTTCAGCCTCTTAATGGTTCAGATGTCTGAATGGTTCAGCAGACTGTTTGTTTCAGCCTCTTAATGGTTCAGAAGTTTGAATGGTTAAGAGATTTGCCTCTGAATGGTTAAGTATTATACAAAGTTTGAATGGTTAAGACCTCTTATCTGAATTGATCAGACATTTGCCTCTGAATAGTTAAGCAATATACTAGCTCCTAATGGTTCAGACCTCTTACTGGTTCAACACTTAATGGTTCAGACCTGGTTCAGCACTTACCCATTCAGAAGTTGCCAAACAGCCCCTTAATTGTAACCCGGGCTGGGTCGTGGGCAAATTAGGGATCAAATTTCACTATTTCATAGTTTAATTTTTGAATATTTTTAAAGGCGAGACTAAATAATGGCTAAATCCACGCTCTTTATCCAAATTTGTTAAATCCACTCCCACTCTTGCAATTTTGTCATTTCTCATCTAGGGAATAGATTTAGCATATTTAAGTGAAAAGAGTGGATTTAGTCATTGCCTTCCACAAAACATATATAGCCATTTCAAAACACATCACTCTTCTTTTGAAACAAAAATTTAGTGTCATATTGTGACACCAAGTCCTAACAGCGCTCTCTTTGACTTAAGTTTCTACTCCCTTCGTTCCACTTTAAATCGTCAATTCCGAATTACGATATTTGAATGAAAATTATTTTTAATATGGAGTACAACTTATTTGAGAGTTGGAGAAGAATAAAAGAAATAAAATTTACCTATATTTAACCACATCAGAGCTATACAAAATAATATTCCCTTCATCTCTATTTACATTGCCTATTTCGATTTACGAGTTTTGACCAAAATATTTTTTAAATTGAAAAATGGTATATAATTAAAAAATAAAAATTACTCCGTACATGTTAAAATACTACATCAAAATATCTACAAAACTAGTGATGACATGAATATATTATTTTATTAAATGACTAACGAAAATAGAAAAAAATGAATATAATTTAATTCATATAAATAGTAAACATGCAATTTAATTTGAGACGGAAGAAGAATGTGACTATATTATTTTATAAAATGAATAACGAATATATAAAAAAGAAAAAGAATAAAATTTGACTATATAAATAATAAACAAACAACTTAATTAGGGACAAAGAGAGTACTTCCTAATCCCCGATATCGATTCTTTTGGAGGAAGACAATGGGCTTGAGGAGGTAAGAACCACTTTAGGTCCAACGGGAGCATTCCAAGGGCTTCAAATGACGAGTGTCATAATATGACAAGAATTGGACCGTTCAAGCTTCAAGATGGAGCAATATGTACATATTGAACCAAATAAAAATCACACATTAAACTTCTCTTGTTTTTTGTCTTTGGACGAAGTGCCAATAAATACACCAATACATCAACATCAAGGGTGCAACAGAAATGACATCTACCTTTGGCAGCGATAAAATTGCTAAAATTAGTTTGTATAAACACGTGTATAATACTCCGTAGTAACTATCTAAGTATCATCGTACACCCCTCCGTCCCATAAAAAATATCAGGTTTCATTAAGGTACAATTTTTTTTTTCAATATGAAAAAGGTAAAATTATAGTATAAAAGATGACTCCTTTTTGGAGACAAATATATCAAGAAATTGAACTCATTTTATGAGACAGAGGGAGCAAAAGCTATACATACTGATGCTGCATATCAGAATGAAATTTCCAACAACATCAAGCTTTTGAACACCCAAGTTGAAAACTGCGAATCTTCATACTCCCATCAAGTGCAAGTGCCAGCAGGTGTTGCTCCTCCACATACCAGAGTTCGGTCATTGTTGCCTAAAAGATTCAAAGATTTTAACTAAATATAAATAAGCAAATAAATAATACACACTCCTTCCAGATTTTGTTGTACACTATTCAGAATCATATTTGGTAATCAAATTGCCGTAAATGATAAAAATACCCATAATAGCATTCATGCCATGAATGATGGAGAACAAAATCATTTTTTTTTTTGTTATTTTTCTTCCCAATTTGACGGTCACAATTATTAAGAAAAATAGAATTGTGTAGTTGTGGCTGATTAAGCAGTGGAAAAATGAGTTCAACTATATAAACACCTGAAGCAATGTAGAGTTTAGGACAACCCAAAAAGGAAAGTGGAAGGAAAATGTCAAGAAGTATAATTGCAATGAAAATAAAGCACTTGTTTAAAATGGACACCTTTAGGAACAAAAAAGCGTATAAGAAGATGTACAAATGTAGTGGCATTACATGGGTTTACAAGAGCAGTACCTTAAACCCATGAATTTTGCTGTTTAATTTGGTTACAAGCATGTTGAAAAACTGAAGTTCGGAGAGATCCTTTGCTTCCTAGAGAGAAGAAATGCCAATAACGTTAATAAAATCACTGAGCACAATGCTGAGAACAATCAAAATAGCAGGGCAACTAAAATTAGGACTTCTGAAAAAATTGCAACACAAACTAGGAAACCTAGAGTGACTTTTTAATGCAAAAGTTACTTTTTAGGGGCGTAGAGAGACTTTTTAGGATAAAAGTGACTTTTTAATAGAAAGTGGAAAGACTTTTTAGGACGAAAAAAATGAAAGGGGAAAACCTATTAGGGACAGAAGGACAACACCAAAAAAGGTTATATTGTGTAGTAGAGATTTATTTAAAGAGAAATACTATAGAACAAGAACCACAAACCCAATATAATCCCAACATCGTTGAGGTGGAGGGGAGGGGGGGGGATGTGGGAAATCAAGCTTTACACCGCACAAAACTTCATAAAAGTAAGAAAAAAGGAACTATAATGTGCCATTTTGATATAGTTCATTATTTACCCAAAGCTATAATGTGCCATTTTCTTCACAAATCCATGATTTTACACAGCAGATCTTATCATATGTGACAGATATAAACCATCAAGTTGGTAGCATGTAAATCAATTAGCCACACCTAGAGGTAAAAATAGAAAAATTTATGTTGTGGATAACTTGCCTCAGCAAAAGTGGTGGGAGGGCCCAAAAGCCTGGCAAATGAAGTGTGAAGAATAACAGCATCATACTGTTCCATAAACAACTATTCATTAGAAAATTCATGTTAAAGTTGACCAATAACACAGGTTATACCGTTATGCACACATTTATTGGCTATCAAGTAAAATATCTGGAGTAGGCGAACTGTAGCCGAGCCTAGTTTAAGGTATACTTGATAGGTAAATTGCATGCTAAGATTTAAAGGCATTTATGTTGTGACTAAAAAGCCCAAATGGTGCCAATACCCTTTATAAACATGGAAAGAATCTCATTCTTAAAAACAGGGGAAAAAATTACGGAAAAGACAAAACCTCTATATTCTCTACGTACTATTTTGTCTGCCTGTTTAATAATGTTAGTGTGCAATCTGTTGTTAGAGAATTAATTTGTGTGAAGTATATTTTGAGAGGATCAATTAATGTTCACTTGATTTGTACAATGAGTCAATGAACCTAGTTCTAGCCAAAACAATGATATGATAATGATTTTAGTGATGATGTCATCATGACCTAAGAAATGATTAAATCAATGCTGCCATCTAAAAAAACAATTTCTAATGTGTATTTTTCAGAGTTAGAATCTGCAGAGAGTAATAGGAAAATATATGTTGTATGCATAACACTTACAAATTGCTTCTCTGGTGCACGAGGAAGAGCGCTTCTCAACCTGTCACGTACAGTTACTGGATCAGTACCGGAGACTACCTGCAACAAAATGCATTCAAAGGGGTCATACACGCGCGCGCACACATACACACATCTATATGTACTTTTCTTTGTTAAAAAAATAATGATAACTGGATATCTTGCTAATGCGAAGGAGAGAAACTGTATGAACAACATTGTTTTCCATATATGGAATTATGGAAATAGGCAAGTTGAATTGGGATGGATGAAAAAGAAAAACAAGCAACTTGAATTGGGACATAAGGAGTATGTCTCTATGTAATTGCAATTTCTGCTTCAGCCGAAAGACACGATTGACAATTTTCCATTTAACAAGTGAGCATGAAGGCTTTTACTAAAGATATCCAGTATTCTAAGTATATGTATCTCGAACAGTTCAGGAGAAACAATTAATTCTAGAAAGATGGGGCAGCCCAACTGGGTTACACCCCTCACTTAACATGCACACTGAGGGTATGTTTGGTTGGGTAGGAGGGAAGGGGAGCGAAGGGAAGTTCCTCCCCTTATTTGGTTAAAAAAATTGGAAGGGAAGGAAGCTAAAAATTTTATGTCCAAATCCCTCCCCTCCCCTCCAATTGGGGGGTTTTCATTCTCTTCTTTCCAATTCTCCAATGTGGTCTTCTTCTTCCTCTTCTATTCTTTTTCTCTATCTCATCTTTTTTGTCCTCTCTCTTTCTGTCCCACCATCTCCTTCTTCGCCCACCCTCCCGTCTCTATCTTTGTCTTCCTCTATGCTCTCCTCTCTTTGTCTCCCTGAAAGTTTTACTTTTCTGTACGCACATCCTATTTCACTCTTTGAGCCTAAAATTGAGAGAATGAAGGGAAAGACAGAGATGAAGGCCAGCAAAGCTACGGAGAATGGAGAAAATTCAGAAAAAATCAGAAAAATGGAGAAAATTGAGCCAGAGGAGAAGTCTGACTGAATGAAGAATGGATAGTGGAAAGAGACAGAGATGAAGTCTGGCTAACTTTTTAGCCAATTGATTCTCTTTTCCCAGTGTCTCACTGCCTCACTGGACTTTCAAATCTTTTTGTACTTTCCTTCCCCTTCCCCTCCCCTAACCAAACAATGTGAAGGCCCTAAGATTAATCTAGCCAAGCTCGGTAACAGTGTATCAAAAGAAACCGTTTCTAACTTCTATCATATTTTACAAAACATTATGTGTCATAACAACCATTTCAATGAGCACATAATATCTGAAGCAACTAACACCGAATGTTCTGAATGTACAAATCAGAAATATCAAGAGAATCTGGTGTTGCACATTTGCACCCAACAAAAAGGTTATAGAAAATGTTGAATAGCTTTATATCAGGTATTAGGCTACCAGGAATCTGAAATTTGAGTCTTTTATCAGTTATGAGTAATTAGCTATCGAAAAACAAAGTTATTCATGAAAAGACCTGCCAGCAGCCTACAAGCACACCGGTTGAGGTCAGAATCACTCTGTCTAGAACAACATTTAATGGACATATGGCCTCCGCAACAGCTTTAACAGCATCCGCTTCAGCTTCAATCTGAAAATGGAAAAAATGATGGGCATAGTCCACTTAATGAACAACATACAAAAGAAACAAAATCCATCAGATCCAATAGAATATCTACCTCCGTTTCTGATGCAGCAATCGGAGTGACATGGTGTGAGGCATGAAACATGCTGCAGTGGTATGTACTGGAGTTTTGAAACCAAATTGCTAAGACAAAAACAGATAAGCATTACAGGAAGCAAATAAAAGAGGAACAAAAGACTACCAGCAATTCTCTTAACTAATTTAAACAGCAGTTCTGTATCTCTACCTCCTTCTACATGTGTGTGTGTGTGTGTGCCCGTGTGTAAACATGAACAGACACATACACAGATAGTTTAGGAGCACAAATTTTGATGATGAGCAACCTGGATCATAGTACGTCTTGATATTCAATTATGGTGTCGGAAACCTGGATCATTATGGTTCTCACATATTTATAATTTCCCAAGGTGAGCATAAAGAAGGTGGAATTGATTGTTGAGAATTGGAAAATTAGGGGGGTTTCCGATCTAGAAGGGTCAAATTAGGAGTTCTCCGACATATTTGAGACCTATTAGTATGACCTCCTATCTAGAAGGGACAAATTAGGGGGGTTTCCGAGCCATTTGGATCTCATGTGGGTTATTTATAAGCAACCTGGAATATGATATGAATTGGATGCATAAGCACGTATGGAGCTTCATGAGGACGTGTCCTGGTAATATGAGGACGTATGGAGCTTCATTGATGTCTGTGGTCTATGAAATGTTTTATACTCTAACATGTTTTGTCATGCAAATGCCTTACGGGCTTTAAACATGACTGCAAAAAAGGCTCTTCCGTACCTTGAACTCTAACAAACACTGTGCAACAAAGGTTTCTTTATAGTTCGTACATAAATCAAAATAGAACTATTGAGAATTGAACTCGCAAACTCTAGGAACCAATTCATCAAAAAGCTTAAATTGGAGGCTAGCTACCCATACCCAAAAAAAGGTTTTATACTCTAACATGTTTTCTTACGCAAATGCCCTATGGGCTTTAAATGTGACTGCAACAAAGGCTCTTCCATACCTTGATCTCTAACAAACACCGTGCAACAAAGGTTTCTCTATAGTCCGTACATAAATCAAAATAGAACTATGGAGAATTGAACTCGTGACCTCTAGGAACCAATTCATTCAAAAGCTTAAATTGGTGGCTAGTTACCCAAAAAAGTTTTATACTCTAACATGTTTTCTCACTCAAATGCCCTATGGGCTTTTACACGTGACTGCAACAAAGGCTCTTCTATTCCTTGAGCATATTTAATATGGGAGCAGTCGAGAATTGAACTCGCAACCTCTAGGTTAACAAGGCCTTGAAACAATGTCAACGAACCAATTCAACCAAAAGCTTAAATTGATTGTTAGTGGCCCAAGAAATGTTTAAGACTCTAACAAATTCTATTATCTTATTTAAATTATTGCAATTATGATTGACAATTTAAGAAACATAACATTAAAAAAGGTGGAAGTGGCATCTATCGAAGATAAGTTGTCAGAGTATTGACAACAGTGGTTTCGACACTTGCAAAGAAGACCTAGTAACACACTGTTAGAAAACAAATGGGTGGATAAATGGTTTCTGTAAAAGAGAGAGACCCAAAAAACACGTGGGAGGAAGTGATTAGGAGTGATTTTTCTCACGTGAAATATGAACAAGAGGGTGGCTATGGATAGAAAGAAATGGAAAAAAACCATATTTTTGAATAACAAAGGGTGATTCTCCTCTTGATTCATGACCCCAAGTTACTTCGATTTAATGTTATTGTTAGTGTGTGGTAGAACATGTGAAGTAAATGATGGAAACAAAGGCTGAGAGTGATTACGCATGTGTTGGCTTACATGGACCGTCCATTTCGGAGAGTTGTGTATGATGTTCTGGTCACCTTACCTTGGTGATCAGAGTTGACAGTGTTTTAGAAGTACTGAAAATAGATGGACAATACTAGTTCAGTAAAGAAAATAAAAATAGGAAGGAGAAAAATATAAGGCTATGATACCAAATTAACTATAAGATTTTAAAAAGACTAACACACTTCTGATTACTTTTCTAAGATCATAAAAATAATAAACCAATTACACAATGCAAATGCCCAAATCCTTCATTTGAGGGACTCGGTATGCACAAAGAAGAAAAGCAAAAAAAACCCCAAATAAAGTTGAACATGAACAAAGAGAATTCACCGAACATTAGAGCTTGAAGATAAAGGTTATTTAAAAAGATAGGTTACCTTTTTCAAAGTATGGTGCAAACATGGTCCTTACAGCCTCCCTATGTAACAATATCAAATAAATTATACAAACATATAAAAGGAGGAGGCAACTTCCAGCAAGGACATAAGAGAAAACTGAGATATTAAAGTGATGTTACTAAAAGAAAACAACATTTGATGATTTTAATAGGCCTGGAATATATTGACCATGGCCGTCCTTTTTCAGAATATGAAGTTACATTTAACGTATTAACCAATAAAATTAGAAGTAGATAACCATCACATCTTAAACTACCCCTTGTATAATTTTCTAGACATTTGTCTAGGTTCAAAGCTTATATCCTGACTCTAGGTCCCCCATGTCCCTAGAGATGTAGTCCCTCCGTCCAAAAATTATCTTCCCGTTCACTATTCACAGGGTCAAACTTTTTTCACTTTGTTGGCCTATTTTTGTTGCCTATTTGATAAAATAATATAGTCTTGTCACCTCTAGTTTTCTAGATCTTTTGATGTAGTTTTTAAATATGCAATTTTTATTTTTTAATTTAATACCATTTTTCATATAAAATGATTTGAAAATAACTTGAGTCAAACATCGTAACGCGCAACGGGAAGATAATTTTTAGACGGAGGGAGTACCAAAGTTACAATGCTCATTTTATAACTTAACTATTTCACAAGAATATGCAATTGCAAGCCCCTTAAAGCCCAAAAGACAGCATTTTGTAATTACTAATGTTTCGCTCAAGAATACTTCCCAGCTTCGGAAAGAATGCCGAGAGAGACAAGCGGAGACATACTTACGCTATATGGACAGAATATTCAACATCCAAATGTAACACATTTGCTCGCACAGGGGGGTTTGCAGCCTAAAGATTAAAAAAATCAAAGTCACTTCCTTCATCTATTCAGACTTCCAAATAAATCAAGCTGTAAGACAGTTAAATTTACCTTCAGCACAGGAGTGACAACCCCATCTTTGAGAGTGAACAAATCCGACAGGGCCAGTGATTGAGAAGTTTTTCCGTGTTTAAGGAAAGCAGCACCATGCTCCTCTAAATCCCTTTCCATCTTGTCATACAATTTCAATCTCTTTTCATGATTCGAGACAGAGCATTCTGTAGCCATTTCATTGCTCATCATTCAAGTTTCTAGCGAAGCACTAATTTCAAGATTCACACATTCATTTAGTAGATTTATCAAAAGGAGAGATAAAGAAAAGGATTCATAAGCAGAAGCACCAATGTATTCTGTTAAGAACAACTTCAAAATTATTCGAATTAATTTTATTAAATCAACCATACTACAACATTAATTTCTTCATTCCCAACATTCTTCATTGACTCTGTTCAGCTTATATTGCCAAACTAGCTTTAGTTCCTCCAATTTATTTCCACTCAGACTCCGTTTGGTACACGAAATTCAAACTATGGAAATAGAATTGGGGTCAACAATTCCAATTCTGCTATTTGGTAGCACAAAAATATGTGGATTTGGAATTAGTGGTACCAAAAATGAATTGGAATTGGAGAATTCAATTCCATCCAAATCAATTCTATAGAATTTCAATTTCCAATTCAATTTCAGTCAATTCCCTGTACCAAAAGCTACCCTTCGTGTTACTTTTGTAATTCTTTTTGTGCGATGTTATGATTACACATACCCATGCTTATAGTCTATTTCGAATTAGCACACTATTAAGCACAAATTAAAAAATAGAAAGGTATTCTTCAAGCAAAAAATAAACGCAAAATAATCAGAGTTTCAAGTGTACCTGATGAATTGTGGATGGCGATGTTGAAGAGAGCATAGAAGGTAAGAACACAGAGGAACCAGATAAAAATTGCAGGTTTGGATCTGGAGAACCACTTCCTCATCCGGACCATCTAGTCTTTCTTTTAAAATGCAATTGGATGTGGAATTTGTACTAAAAAAAAGCAGTGGAATTTAAAACTTTATTTTGTTTAAACAAATGCGTGTCTGATCCACCAAAACATAACTCCAGGTTTTCTGCGAAGAACTACTCTTTTCAAAAAAAACGGTAAAAATGAGTAAAAAATATTGACTCTAAAATAAAAATTAACTTGTAGAGTGTAACTAAAGGAATGAAAGAGTGTGTTTGGGTCGGGTGGTGGGAATTTACCGAGAAATAGGAAGCGTCAATTTTACAAACGGAGCTTCGTAGTGGCCCCGATGCATCGTATGACATGAGATTCCAATATCATGGCAATCCCTCCGTACTTCTGGGTACTAATGTGTAGTGTTCCTATAAATAATTCTTGAAAGAATAATATTTGAGAGAACTTCTCTTGTATTTACAATATGCACAAAAGCTGTATATATAGGATCCCACATGCTAGAACCTCTATATAGAAACTAAATACAAAAGGAAAAAATACAAGAGGAAATCAACATAAATCGAGAAACAACCACATACACAATAATACTCCGTAATATATACGAAAATGTATTCTTTCCTTTAACACCCCCCCCCCCCCAATTTGGAGCATGCAAAAGCGAAATGTCTAACTTGGGAATAAGAAACTCCAAACGTGATTTTCCTAATGCCTTTGTATGTATGTCTGTAAGCTGGTGTGCAATAAGAAGATGATGCGTAGGAATCAAATTGCGAAGGAGTTCATCACGAACAAAATGTCAGTCACAAGTAAGCATGACCCCAAGAGAGCGTAAGAGACTCTAAAACCATTTCAGACATGACTTGGACCAGTTCTAACAGACTATCCAGTCCCTAAAGATTCATATTTTTTATGAAGATCGGACTAGTCTAGAACAATTTTAAAAAAAAGACCAGACCAATCCCGTCTTAAATGGTATTGGTCTCTTCAAGGGACTAATCCGATCCCATCCTTTTACTCACTTCTACCTCCAATCCACTACTTTATTATTAAAAAATACTCTTTAAAAATTTTGAAAGCTATATATAAATACAAAAATAAACTATAAGAGAGAAACCAAAATATAGAAGCCACTCTATTTTTCCTCTCCCACCCTCTATATTTAGATTTAGATGGTACTGTGCAACCTCTAAATACACTCCTACTCGTACGTTCTTCCGCCACTCATCCTCATTTACATTTCTAAACCCAACCTAAGAGCATTAGAAATACGTTTGAAACCCAGAGCTTCAAATCTGGGCTTCAAACCTTTTTTCTCTGTCACATCAATTTTAATTCTTCTTTAACTTACCTCACAGTTTCAAAGAAAATGAGTTTGAAGCCCCAAAGCTTTAAACCTTTATTTTTTAAACAATACTCCCTCCGTCCCGCTATATTCGTCCAGTTTTGACTTTTGGAACTGTTCATCTAAGCACTTTGACTCATCAAATTCTCTCAATGTGTAAGCCTAAATATAGTCATGTGTGATCTTGTTTGATTTGTTTTAACATATAGATTATTAATATATAATTTCTATAATTTTTTAATATACAAATTACAAGATAAAATGGATTAAAGAAGTGTATTGGATGGTGTGTAAAAATGAAAGTAGAAAAATACTCTGGGACGGAGGGAGCAATAATTTTTTAAATAAAAAACTTACGTTAATAAAAAAATATTTTAATAATAACAACATAAATAAAAAAATTAAAAATTAAAAAACATTACGAAGAATTTAATGATTATTTAAGGGGCCAAAAATATGTTCAATCAAATCCGTCGTTACTGCATTATGAATCTCTTGGCTTCAAATTTCTTGGCGGTTTCTTCATTTGTTTTTTTGCCGATTTCTTTGTACGCATGGACCTCTTTGTCTGGGTTCTAATGAAAAATTCCAAACGTGTTGTCCTCTATAATCATATAATGAAGAATAATACATGCATACATGATATTCCTTATTTTTGTTTGAGAATAATACTTGGATGGACATGTATAATGAGCCACTTACCCGTTCGATATCCTTTCTTGCCGCCTCATGAGCTTTTTTGTACATCCGCCATTTAAGACCGATTGGTTCCAACAGGGACTTGATAACTGTGGAATAATCTGGATATATTTCATCGGCAAGATAATATCCACGCTTGTAAAGCACCCCTCTAAGCTAAAAAGATGAGTCGGGTGCATTCTCATTAACCCAATCGTCAAATACGGATGATTGATCAAGAACATTGATGTCTGTTGGGAAAATATTATAGATTTTGATGATGATGTATGTAAATTGTAATAGAGACTTTAGGCCTCCCCCATAATTCGATGTAATTTTCCTTTTATTAGAAATTTTGTTAAAACCAAGTTCTTGAGTTTTCAAATAAAACTGGTGATATTTCGTCTTGAGATTTGAGCATCCATGTTATGAAGACTTGTCAAAAACAAATGCTATGGAAATCAGAACTCTCGCTCGGAGATATCAGAGACAAGAAAGGAATTCTTAATGAAGTTAATTACTTTAGAAATCCAAAGTCCGGAAGACTCGAGTACTACCCGGAAGTCTCGCAGCCATCCGTGTGAAGGCTAGCAATCCGGATATCTATGTACGTATCGGAAGCCTAGCGCGGATCGCTCTGTCAGACACTACTTTCTCACCCGGAAGTCTCATCATGACTTATTCGTATCTATCAGAATCAAGAGCCGGATTTCTTAAAGGACCGGAACTCTCAAACAGACAAGTGAGAAAAAGGACTTAGAAAATTAATCTAAGTCATGATTGAAGGAATTCTATCCTTTACCAAGGAAAAATCAACTCTTTGATTTTCAAATGGCTAGACTCAGGATAATTCAAATTAATTCGAGAACAAAAGATAAGAAGACAGAGTATGGACTTTCTAATTAAAGAGCTAAGCTAGAAGACAAATGCCATGACAAAGGAATCAATCTTCAACAAAAGCTTATGTCCAAGAGAAAATTTCCAAGGACAATCCTCATGGACCTTCATTCAAATTGAAGCCAGCAAACATAAGGTTAATCTATTCCCTTCAATGGATAGATTAAACAGTCCAGCCACCTATATATAGCTCCTACGGAAGATTGAAGAAATCAACCAACCTACAACCAATCACAGTTAACCAAGAGTGAAAGATCCTCAAAAGCTTGATAAAGAAAGCATTCAAAAAAAAAAACTCCTTATCTAGAAGCAAACTTCTCCTTCTTCCAAAGAGCTATAAGTGAAAATACTTGAAGGTCTCCTTGCCTCAAGTACAACACCGAGTTGAAGGATTTTTTTAATCAAGCATCTTGATTAAAACGGGGCACATCAGTTTTCTTACAAACTGATCTTGCAAGTCCTATTTTTCGAACCTTGCAGTTGTTGAAGAAGCTTGACCTTCGAAGGAACAACAAAGCCAGCACAAGTGTAGTAGCAACATTTTCTTTGCGAAGATATACCGTGCTTTCACTATTGTAATTATTGGTTCACCTTCAACAACCAATTACCTAGTGGATTCTGAGGACGTAGAAGGATTACCCCACCTTCGAACCTCGTTAAAGTTTGCGTTTCTCTCACTTTCTCTCTCTATCTCTACTTATTTATGTGATTATATTAACTGTGAAACTAATCGATCCATATTGGATTACTGCTCCAAATAATCCACCAAATTCCGCACTCTCAATCTAAGTTCCCAAGAACTTTAGATTAACAACTATTTCACGTTTTCAAAAAGAAACGAAAAAGATTTTAAATTTGTAACAAAGTCTATTCACTCCCCCTCTAGACTTTGTATCTCACCATTTCGGGGACCATCAATGTCGTTGTTCAAGCCCGCAACACCAAAAAAAGCATGCCCAAACCACAAGTCATTTGAAGCCAATGCTTAGAGCATAATAGTAGGTTTGGGATAAAGACAGTTTTTACATTCCCAATAATGCGTGCAATCGATGCTCCAAAGCATCCTGACAAGACGTGTTTAGCGGCATGTCTCGCCTGTAACTACTTAATGTTGCTCGCCGTCGGTTTACTTTAATATGTCTTATGATATAGTCGAATAATAGCTTTAGAAAATTTATAAACACATGCCCTGATGTTTCAAGCTGACATCTTCAAGTATTCATCGAACATATTACTAGCGGTCCCGTACGCCATCTAACAAAGCGCGGCGGTGCACTTGTGAACGCTACTAAAACCGCGCCGGTCTCTCGCATCAAATCGTTGGGTGAACCAAGGAACCCCGCGTTCAATATCGGCGACTATGCGTAAAAATAAAGAAGAGCTCATCCAAAAACAATTAGTAAAATTCTCCGGTGTGTAAACACACGGAGTATTGAAGTAGTCGTGTTTCGTGTGTAATTGTCCAACCATGGTTTAAATGCTCACGTCGAGTCTAGCATTGCGACGTTTGGTAACAGCCCGCCAAGAAACAACGAAAGATGAGAGCTCTTCTTTCATCGTTAGATGAAGATGGTCCTATTTTTGGGGTGTTTTGTAGAAAGAATTAAAAGAAATAAATTTTTTTTGGATTAATTATAGAGAGAATGAGAATTTGTTGTATATTTTATAAATAAGGTGATATTTATAGTTAAAAAATAATTTTTTATTTTTTAAATGTGGCCAATAGCCTATTTCTCGTGCAGCACCCTCACCCAATTACTTTTGGATTCAAAAATACTAGAGGTACGCCAAAAGTGTACTCCAAATGTAAATCACCCCTCTACCACTACATATTTTGACATGTAAATAAAAAAAGATATAAATAAATATAAAGGAGGGATAATGGAGGGTAGCAACCCCCGGATTCAAATTTTGAGATCATAGAGATTCAATGAAACTCGAAGCAAATCTGAAAGGTTGATGCTACGATGAACTCAAGTTAGCAGAGTTCAGATCCGGGTGCTGGTTTGATTTCTTCAATTCTTTATTTAATTTATTCTATTGTTCATTCCCCAATTTTTCCGCTGTAACCGTGCCTATCCGGATCTCTTAAAAGGGCCGGACTCATTCCTTTAGCTTATTATTACTCATCGGATCGGAATGTTTGACTGTTTCAGCATAGGTTAACGAAAGAAAGATTGTGCAATTGACTCCGCCAGACAAAAGGGGTAAATCTTTTTCTTTTCTCCCTCTTTTACAATTTGCAATTTGTGTTTGTAGAATTGCAATCTGTATATATATGATCGGTTGATTGAATTGGAAATATCAATATAGAATGATTAAAAGTTGCTTCCTTTTTATTTTTCCGTGATGTTTTTCCCCTGTTTAGTTTGGAATTCTAATAGCAATTTTTCTTCATCATTTTTTTTATTTCTATTTGGTGATTCACTGATTTGCTCTCTCAATCATTATTACTTCAATTTACTAACCACATAATTTCCCATTTGAGCATTAAGTAATCCACACACTTGTTCTTGAGCAACAGATCATGTCAG